GGACTCGTTCCAGCACCTTTTTGTAGAGAGGGGCCCAAACCAGAACACAGTATTCAAGATGTGGCCTCACCAGTGCCAAGTACAGAGGGATAATGACTTCATTAGACCTGCTGGTCACATATTTCTGATATAGGCCAGGATGGCATTGGCCTTCTTAACCACCTGGGCATGTGCCAGCTCCTGTTCACCTGGCTGTTGACCAGTGCCCCTAGGTCCTTTTCTGATGGGCCATTTTCCAGCCACTCATCCCCAAGCCTGTAGCAATGCATTGGAATGTTGTGACCAAAGTGCTGGACCCAGCACTTGGACTTGTTGAGCTTCATACCACTGGCCTCTGCCCATCAATCCAGCCTGTCCAGATCCCCCTGTAGAACCTTCCTGCTCTCCAGCAGATCAACACTCCTGCCCAGCTTGGTGTCCTCAGCAAACTTGTAGAGAGTGCATTTAATCCCTTAGTCCAGATAATCGATAAAGATTTTAAACAGGACTGGCCCCAATACTGAGCCCTGGAGACCACCATTTGTGACTGTCTGCCAACTGGATTTAACTCCGTGCACCACCACTCCCTGGGCCTGAACATCCAGCCATTTTTTTACTCAGCACAGTATACGTCCATCCAAGACATGAGCAGCCAGTTTATCCAGTAGAATGCTGTGGGAAATGGTGTCAAAGGCTTTACTAAAGTCTAAGTAGATAATATCCACAATCGCTGCTTTCATTTAGTTTCACATTGGAGCTGTTCAGTCTTCTGCAAGTGCTACAGAAGACTGGAAGCAAGAAACTCATTATTTCTTATCTCAGTTGGCTTATCCATGTCAAGCCCTTAGTTTCCTAAAATTTTTATTGTTCCTGGTATAATATGGATACTACTTCACCACTTCACATAGATATTTTAAGGATTAATGTTGCGTGGCTAATCTATGTTGCAGTGCATACACATGCTTTAGTAGTGATGAACTGTCAAATCAATGAAACATTTAGGCCTCAATTTTTCAATGTCATCTGTGCAGAAAGTTCTTTGCACTTATTTCAAACTTTCAGAAGAAATATGAGCTCCACAAAAATACAGAATTTACTCATATTGGTGTCTCTGTAGCATCAGTACCTCACTGCTTTCCAGTGATGCTCAAGTATCCACTGACTTAATCTCTGAATGTTGTGACAACTGATAACTATATTAGGAATTTACAGAGCAGTATTATTAAAATAGCAAGCTTTTTCATTAACATTTTCCAATTTTGTCAATGTTGTTCCTTCTCAAATAACCAGATTTCAAAGCCCTTGGGAGTTCCAGCACACAGCTACACTGAGACTGATTAATACTCTTCCTTTTCTTTCGTCTTGAACATCTCCTCGACTTAAAAAAATATTCTTAAATGTGAAAAGCTCGTATATGCATTAATGTGTATGTATGCATGTGTATGTACGACACATCAGGTATTTTATTAATTTCATAGGATTACACAATCATAAAACAGTTTGGGGAAGGGACCTTAAATATCAACTAGTTCCAACCCCTGTGCCATGGGCAGGGACATCTTTCACTAGACCAGGTTGCTCAGGGCCCCATCCAATCTTGCCCTCAACACTTCCAGGGATGGGGCATCCACAACTTCTCTGAGCAACCTTTTCCAGTGCCTCATCATGCTCAGAGTAAAGAATTTCTTTCCGATATCTAATCTAAACATATTGTCTTTCAGTTTAAACCCATTCCCTCTTGTCCTGTCACTACATGCCCTTGTAAAAAGTCCCTCTCCATCTTTGTTGTACGCTCCCTTCAGGTAGTGCAAGGCCACAATTAGGTCACCCTGCAGTCTTGCCTTCTCCAGGCTGAACAAATGTAATTCTGGCAGCCCTTCCTCATAGGAGAGGTTCTCCATCCTCCCTGATCATCTTGGTGGCCCTTCTCTGGACTTGCTGCAACAGTTTCATGTCTTGCCTGTGCTGGGGACTCCACAGCTGAATGCAGTACTCCACATGGGGTTTTACTAAAGTGAGGTAGAGGGGCAGAATCATATCCCTTGACCTGCTGGCTACACTGCTTAGATGCAGCTCAGGATATGATTTGCTTTCCGGACTGCAAGTGCGCATTGCTGGCTCATGTCGAGTTTCTGATCAACCAATATCCCTTTTGATCTGTTCATTCCCCAGCCTGTATTGATACTGGAAGTTGCCCTGACCCAGGTGAAGCATCTTCTACTTGATCTTGTCAAACCTCATGAGATTCCCAGGGACTCACTTCTTGACCTTGTCCCGGTCCCTCTGGATGGCATCCCATCCTTCAGGTGTGTTAACTGCACCACTCAACTGGGTGTCATCTGAAAACATGCTGAGGGTGCTCTCAATCCCCTTGTCTATGTCATTGATGAAGACATTAAAAAGCACTGGTCCCAGTACGGACCCTGAGGGACACCACTTGTCACTGATGTCCATGAGGACTCTAGGCCATTGACCTCTGGATGCCACAGTCCAAACAATTTCTCACCCATCGAACAGTCCATCAGCAAATCCATCTCCCTTCAATTTGGAGAGAAGGATGCTGTGGGGGACCACGTCAAAGGCTTTACAGAAGTCCAGGTAAATGTCACCTGTACCCCTTCCCTTGTCCACTGATCCTTCATATTGATATTTCAAAAGTATGCTATAGCTGTAAAGGGTATTAATCTGAGATTCCTGGAGAATGAAGAAAGTTGCGTATCTACTGTATAGCACCAGAACACGGTTGTGCTAGACATTCTTACATTCTTTTTTTTTTAAGTATCTCAGCCCAATCCAAAGTGGCAAGGTGTACTCAAGTGGAGAGGTCAAAAGCATATTCATTTTTTTGTTTCACATTGTTTTTTTTTTTTGGTTGTTGTTGTTTTGTTTTGTTTTGTTTGTTTGTTTGTTTTTAAACTTTTTTTAAAAAATCAGTAATAAGTATTTAACTAATTGTGATCATGACAGCTGCCAGCAAGGATCTGTATAAGGTTAACAATAGTTTAAGTAATACTATTGCTCTCCTTGAGATTTTGGTCACTAGTAATTTAGACTGATCTTTTACAAATGGCAGTCACTTGGTTACTACAAAGCAGTGATCATTAAACTGATCTATTTTTACTTACATTTTTCTTCACTTACTATTTATGTTTGGATTTAATCCTGAAAAGATTGAGCACAGAGTCACTAAGTCTATCTAAATCATCTACTCTCAAATATGTCTTTTACATAAGCTAAAGAAAGCTTTTCATAGATTTAATTTTAGTATAAACTGCAACTGGTAAGATTATAAACTCCTCTTAGAACATTAACTGTTAACATGGACTCACAACGATGAGCTATCAAACCATTTTTTCTTAGTAATTTTAATTTTGATATCCCTCTCACCTAATGACAGTTCAATGAAGCACAGAATCAAAGGCATGTCTTTAATGTGCTGAAAGAGGCAAAACTGTCTGGTTAGGGAGTAATACAGGAAGTTACAAAAGATTACTGGAATCTTTTTTAAGCAGCTTATACTGCAAGCTCCCTGCTGTGGCTGCATAACAGACCAGCTGGCTGGAAGCTGCTGCGAAGGTGCTGGAGCCATACACCATGAGAAGTTGCTGCCGACAGTGCCTAGACCCACAGAGAAGAGCTGCCAACTCTGACCTACCTCAGTGATTAATTTAAGCCCACTCTTGATTTTCAATTAGAATATACTGATTCTTTTGTAGATAAGAACTAAGAAAGGTGGAGAGACACAGCAAGGAGCTAACACGCTATCTGAGTAGACAAGATCACTGAAGTTGCACTTACATTTTACGGAGCTGAGGAAGTTTCTTAAAGATTCCAGTAGCTTCCAGGACTGAAAATTCATTGTTATTTAGTCGCCTAAAAGAAATTACATCAATTTCAGAAAAAAATATTCAGGCATTGGTACAGAATGTTCTACATTAAGTAAACTTTTCAGACTGGTTTCACTGAGTAGCTGGTCTTTAACCGGTAGATCAAGAACAATTTCTTATATACTGACATTTCTAATTCTGATAATTCCTGTGAATGAATATTCTCATTCCTGTGAATGAACTTTCTCATTAGCTAAATGTAGGCATACATAAGACCTTTTAATAGCCTGTCCACAAAATATTATACAACTAAAACTGCAGAGAAATATAAGATGATGTTTTTAATTTTCAAAACAAAAATGTAACTAAGGAAGGGTTCCATGGCAACTTATAAATAAAAATCTTTTAGAAGTACATGTAAACCACTGAAGATTAGTTTTCTGTTCTTTAAAGGATATCAGGTGGGGTCTGCCAGACATCTGGAGGTACTCACAGAACACTGTTTACAAGAATGAAATAACCGCTCAGTGCTTCCTCTGAACAGGGAATGAAACACACTGCACAGGTCTTCCCAAGAATTTAAAAAGCACTTCTCTCACCATGGGTTATCTACATGCCACTACAGCTGGCACACTCATTGCTGAAGGAAGCATTAAATGCTGATTTTTTAACACTATAGGAAGGTATACAATGAGCAACAAATACTAGCTGAATATTTATCTTTCCTACACAGGCATCAAGGCTGTTCCAACATGGTGTACTTTAGCAGTTGCTAGGTTAGGGGACTATATAAATTTCAAAAAATATCTGCATTGACCCAGTACTCCCTATTTCCTCTCTTGAAAAGAAAACGGAAATTATAAGTCTTAGATTCTTTATATATTTTAATGGAGCCATCTTATTAAGGAAGGGAGTCTGTCCAGCTTTAATTTTAAGATCTTAAATAGGAAGGAAGAGATGTGACTGACAAGATCACTGTAAAATGAAATTCAGCATAATTCTAAACCCAGAATGCTCTTTAGAAATGCCTTTTTGCAAGACAAGATTAAAAAACGCCTAGAAAATAAAAGAAAGCTGTTTGATCATCCTTTCCTTCTGTTCATTCTCAGTGATAGCCAAAAGGGAAATTAAGGTTGTAAATCTGTGCAATAGTTTCAACATGGAACCAAACCGAGAGAAGACAGAGTTTTTTGGACATACACAAAACATTTGAGTAGCACAGTGAACTACAAGAAATATGAATTTCAAAAGATGTTACTACCTCTGAAAATCAGCTGAGAAACTTCATGTGATTTTTAGTGTGACCATACAAAATAATTCTTACATAGTGGCAATTAACAAAATTACTTCTTCACTGTTAAGAGCCTTCCCCCCCCCATCCATCAACAACAGAAAGAGAATTTTATAAATGCTGACATTTTCACATACTTTTCAAGTGTTATATCATCAAGCAGAATGACTTGTTAATGAAAACATTTACTAATTCTAATAGTACTTATTTTCTCTACTACAAACACCTCTGATTCCATTGAAAGTGGTAATTTGATCCTTTCCTCTTTCCAACAACCTTTTACATATTAAAAACAATTTACTGTGCCTCTTTCTCAAGTTTCTTTCACACAAATGCATTCAACATTTTAGTTTTGTTCTCAGAAGTCGTCTTTTCTAGGTGATTCTCCTTGAATTTTTTTTTAAGTATCCATCTTGAAACATGAAGCCCTTGACACAGTATTCCAGCTGATATTTTAGTATTGCTATGTAAATTAAATAATTATTTTGTATAATTTGCATACTACACTGCTATAAGTACACCTCAAAATGAAATTTCTAGTTCCCAAAAGCACTCCTTCACCTTTAACATGTATGACAACATCACTATAGCCTTTTATCTTGAAATCCTTATTGGTCATTCCTAAATCTTTTATTTCCAGGGCTAAATAGTCCTACATAATGCCAGATGTAGATTTTTAATTTTTATTTTATTAAAATTTCATTTATTTTATTCAAAATAGTTTGCACATAATGGAATCAAAATTATTAAAAGTAACTGGAAAATTAACAGATGGGGTGAAATCTCCCTTATGGATCTCAAGATCATTATTTTTTGAGCCTAATGCTCTTCACCAGTAAAGATAGTAACTGTAGCTGTTACCTGTCAATCACTGGATCATGAAAGTGATCTTAAAATTACTCTTATCTGGTTTATTAAAAAAAAAAGTACTGAAACACCATTCTCAAAACAAAAAAGTAAACAAAGAAGCATTTGACAATGATATCTACATATTCTGTTTCGTTGGTTTATTGGATGCTTTTTCCTGTTTTAGTAACACAATGGCTTGCATGTTTTTGTACAATAGGTGATCCTCCTGGAAGGCTATATACTGCAGTGATATTCATGCTTTTCAAAAATTTCGTGTTTGATTATCAGCTCTTGTAAAATCATAAAAACTCAACATACAAGACTGAAATTATTTTTATTTAGCATTCTTCCTGGGGACTCTGGTTTGAGTGGTTTATCAACACTTCCTGAACTTTCCTATACATTAGAATGCTACCTGAAAAAGATTTTATTTCTGGGGTGCAATTACAGACTTGTACTTTATATCAAATACTTCATTAGCAGATTAGACAGACCTTTCAGTGGTTTTCTGGAAGACTGTGAGCAAGAGACAAAATAGGAAGCTAGAACAGAAACTGGCTTATTTAATTTTTTTCAATTTTACAATTAAGTTATCTGTCTTGGTCTATATAATTATTTTCAGATTTTTTAAAAAAGCAACTAACTTGAAGAAATACTGTCGTGTGTGGTGGTTTGTTTTTTTGTGTGTGTATGTGTGATATCACTACTGTTGCAATATACACAATGCATACCTTTTCCCTCACTTCACTTTTGATCTTTATTTTCAAGCTGGGACTCAGCTCCAAATACCACTCAGTAGAAATTAATCTGGCTTTCCTCATCACTGTTATAGAAGCATCAATGTAACCTGACTCTAACAAGTATCTTTATCTCAAATGTGATGGCTAAAAGAAAAGAAAGACTAACTAGCTGCTGTTCTCATATACATGCTTGTAAATATTGCGAACTGGACCTCACAGAGTGGTCCTAGAACTAGACTGGGAAGTTGCAAGAGGAACATCAAAGGCAGTGCATCAAAGACCAATAATAACAGGAGGAAACAGAAAAAAGAGCTGTAACTTTTGCATTGGTGAGGCAAATACCAAAAGAGTATATTCAGCTAGAGCAAATGGATTTTTAGCAAAAGTAAAAAAATGCAGAAAAAATTTCTCTATCCTCTCTAGAATATTTGTAGTGCTATTGAAATTTTTATTACATCAAATGACTTGAAGAACAATCTGTGCAGCCTATCAAGTAGAAGGCTGAAAAATGACTTTGTTACGTTTAACACCATCTTACAAATGAACCATAAAGTGCTGCATACAGAAAAGGTCTCTAATGGCAAAAAATATAAAGGAAGCAATGATGAAAACTGAAGAGAAGTAGATTCTATCTCGAAGTAAAAGTTCCCATTTTAAAAGATTTTAACAGAAGTGAAAGAAGATAATTAACTTCTGTAAAGTCTCAGGGAAATGGTGGATTTTTAAATCCACTACCACCTTCAAACAAAAATGTGTATTTTCTGAAAAAGTGCTGCAACCAAACATGAATTATGCTTTAGTCAAAAAAAATTTTTTTTGGTTGAAATTTGAGTGTTTAGGATACACAACAGATGAGGCTTGATTATTTAATTGTTCCTCCTGAATTTAATAGGTAGGAATCATAATTATAGAAAGAAAACACTTGGCAGTTTATCTTCCACACGTAAATAAATGAATACGAAAAACAACAATTAAAATGCAAAATTAAGATTATTATTTCTTCAGAAAAGAGAGAATTAAACATGATTGCTCCTAAAAATCCAGACAGTGTATTGCCACTTCAGCAACTCCATTTCTCATCTCTTCATTCAGTAACTATCATTTATACAACCACTACTTTACAATCTCATCCTACATGTTAACCTGTCACCCAATCCATCAGCTTTTACTCTCAAATTAAAGTAATTTTATCTTAAAATATAGGATAACATAAAATGTATTTCTCCACTGAAGTCAATCTCTCTTCACCCAAGACTGTATCATTTTTCTCTTCTGATTGCATTTCTCAGATTTTTAATAAGAACATGTCATGGTTTATCTCTAGCCAGACACCAAGCACCACACAGCCACTCACTCCCCCACCAGAAGGCCTGGGGAGACAACCAGAAGGGTAAAAATGAGAAAACTTGTGGGTTGAGAGAAATGCAGTTTTATAGGGAAAGAAAAAACCTTACACACAAATAAATAAAAAAATTATTTCACTTCTTCCCACTGGCAGGTGGGTGATCAGCCATCTCCAGGAGAGCAGGGCCCTATCATGCTCAACAGTGACTTGGGAAGACAGACACCATCACTGCAAACATCATCCCTTCTCCTTCTTCCCTGCCCCCCTTTATATACTGAGCATGATGTCATACAGTCTGGAACATCCCTTTGGTCAGTTTGGGTCACCTGTCCTGGCTGTGTCTCCTCCCAGCCTCACATGCGTCCCCCAACTTCCTTGCCAGCATGGAAGTACAAAAAGTAGTAAAGGCCTTGGCTCTGTGTAAGCCCTGCTCAGCCATAACAGAAAACATCTCCATATTATTAACCCTGAATTCAGCACAAATCCAAAACACAAACCCATACTATCCTCTGTGAAGAAAATTAACTCCACCCCAGCCAAAACCAGCACAGAAAGCAACCCTGAAGTTCAATTCCTTCTCCAGAGACAGACAAAAACCTCCATCTCTGTTTTAAAAATATTTGTTTTAAGTTCCTTTTCCTGTCAAGATATTCAAACTCCTTAACAATAGTCTCATTATTTCCTACCTTCACTGCTGTACTGTTACTTTGATGCCAGTTGTATACTGATTGTCTTTTAAGAGGTGTGTCATCCTCTTGCTCATCTCACCCCTGTGAGTTACAACTTGATCACAGTACTCCTGTCTCCACATCTCTGTCTCTGCTTTACTACATCAAATCAAAGTCCCTCTCTTGTCCCTCAACATTCTGCCTTGTTCTTTAAACTGAATCTCCTAGGAAAAATAGCTGTTTCCTTTCGCCTTTGCTCTGCAATGACAGCCACTTTTCATCTACCTTTCTGCTGATCCTTCAAGCATCTCTGCATTCCCTTTCATACTATGCTTTGCACATGGGAAAACCTTGTAAAGCTGTCTCAATTTTATCTTTCACTCCCTCCTTGAAGATCGCTTCAGTTGTAATGCCTACATATGGCACTTATTAAGCAACCTGTGATTTCTGCCCATTCTGTTCATTATACTATTGTCTCATCTTCTTAAACCAACACTGTTCTGTTTGTCTGCTTTATCTTTCTCTGGCCTCCTGCCTGACACATGTAATGTGTACTTTGCATAAGAAGAATCATCTTTGTCTTTTGAAACACCTAAGACTGACCCCCCTTTGGTTACTGGATGACCTACTTTCTCTGGTAGTTAAAAATAAAAGCAAAATAAACTCTACTACTTTAAAAAAAAATTGAAGTGGGTTGCTCAGATTCTTGAAGAATAGAAATATAGAATAGTTGCCTTATTTATTTATCATGGGTTTTTAAGGCTACATGATACTGAAATGATGCATAAATAATTTTTATGAATATTTAGTCCTTAGAAGGGCACCAAATAGATTATTCTGCAGTTCAAAAAAGTAAAACTGTGGGTTTATATTTGAAAATTTTAGTTAGTTTTTCCATAATAAACCATGCTTTATTATGGGTTCAACTTACAACTCTGCTGTGTACTGGGGGATGTGATCAGGAATTTTGTTGAGTTTCTGATTGGAGCAGTCCACTGTGGTCCCTTCACAGCGACATTTTTCAGGGCAAGCCAAATCTGCAAAGCAGTCTCCACTTAATTTGGATCTGTAATCCTCAGTGCCTGCAGAAGATTCAAGTCAAAACACAGATACTAAGTCAATAAAGTTCAAGATTTACTTCTTCTGAGAAGGCTGAAAAGATTTCTGCAATGCAGATAACAGTGGGCAACTTGGGAAATGCATGATAAACTTTGTGATACTGAACAGACACAAGGGCTTCAAGAGAGGGTTAAATTTAGGGACTTAAGATATGCTGGAAAAAGAAACTGAGACCAACTTCACATAATGGGATAACAATAACTTGAGCTTTTCACAGCTGTACTTTCTGCTGATTATGCTGTCAGCCAATCTAGCCTTGTTTATAGCTAATCACACAAATGCCACTGATTCTTTTAGAATTTATTTTATTTCTCTGTATCAAGAATAAATAGATCCTCAATGCCACCTTTTCGCTTTCTCTGGTTACAAATTTGTATTGTTGACTGGACTTCATTAACCTCTGTGATTTTTTTTTTAATAGTCCCGATACTCCACATCAACTCAACACAAAAGATTGAAAGCCCTGTTTTCAGCTTTAATTTTAAAAATATGTGATCCTGACTTAAGCCTCAGCAGCTTGTCATGCTGTAGAAAGCTGCGTGACGTTCCATGGTGCTTGACAGAACCATGTTTTACTCATACCTCACAACCACATGGTTAGATCAAGCACAACAGAAAATCTCGCTACATTATCAAAACTGCATC